CAAAAGCTAATATCTTAGGAACGGGACATCCGATTGACAAGCGGTCTTCTTTACTGAATGTCACTTGGACGTAAAAGTTATGTGGTGTGATGGCCACCATGCGTTCTTGCCAACCACCGCACGTGACGCGTGGTAAAGTTGGACATTTTTTAAGAACCCCCAAAATTGCAACCTCAATAACGGCACAACGGTTGGGCCGATTGAATTGAAACTCGGTACACAGTTAGGTCTTCATCAGATAATTCATCTGCATGTGTTAACCCGCGCCCTGCTGGGGGGGGTGTTTGAACACCCCCCCCCCTTGTGGTTTTTCGCGAATATCTCAAAAACGGAGGCGCGGAGCGCCGCCGTTTTGGGTACACCTTATCATACATCAATTCTACACATGTTGTGAAAATTTCAGACCAAGGTCATTCAAGGTCAGGTCACCAGGTCACTTGAAGTGACCTCACCTCATAAAAAGTTTCAATGTCTGTCATAGCTACACCGAGTGACCGATCGCTTTTAAACTTTCAGCGATTGCTAAGAGCAATAGCATGTACAAAATGTATATCTCAGAATTTTGATATCGATGACCTAAGGTCAGGCCAATTTTGCGACCTCCCCATTATAAGTCGATGGGAGAAAATTGAAATGCGCCTCTTCTGGACGAAAGACATTATAAACACTCCCAAACACTGAATTACAAGTGTTTTAGACACACTGAACATGAAAATGGTGTCCGTGACCCCTGTTTATGCCCTGAGGTCATCTTAGGTCACGAATGGTATCTAACAGTTTTTCGCAAATAACTTTTGATAGAGGCATGCTAGAGCGATGAAAACGCCTTAGATGTGTTCAGCTCGACGATACGGATCGACTGATATGCAACATGACCCTTTCCGGTCAGGTCATGACCTTGACCTGAGGTCAAATTTTCAAGTTGACCTTTCAAGGTCAAGTTATAGTTCATTCGATGCGTCTTGACGAGAGGAACACGATGCCGGTAAAAGTAAGCTCGTACAAGGCTTGGGTCAAAAGTTATTGCAGAAAAACTGTTTCCGAAAAAATCGGCTATTTTTGCAGTTTTTGCCCCCTGCAGGCAAAACCGTTGACGTTAGGTCAAATCTGAGAGAATCACTCAGAAAGGGCGTTAATAGGGCTATCGAATGCGCTTTTCCGCGGCGCTGTAGCTCTATTGGTTCTCGAGTTATGCGTTGGCTTCTTGGAAATTGTCGACATTCGACCTGGAAATCGGCGAAATTTTGCCTTCAATGACCTCTGGTGACCTGACCTTTGACCTGACCAAAAAATTGACCGTTGTGATTTCCTCATTATTTTTGACGCTCTTTCGAACGCCGCCTTCCGCGTATCGCTACGTGGCCCAGGAGCCTAGTTAGAAGGGGGGTGTTCAAACACCCCCCCCCCCCCAGCAGGGCGTGGAAATCCAGGACCCCCAGCCGGGCGCGGGTTAAGGTTGGGTGCTACAGCACGTGCGCACGTGCAGGGGGCGCTCCCAGATCTCGAGAACGGCTGGGCCGATTGCGCTCAAATTTGGTACACGGTTGGGGACCAGTTAGTAGGGTGCCGTGCAAAAGTCAGTTTGGACCCCGCTTGCACGTGCGCACGTGCAGAATGCCGCTTCCAGATCTCAGGAACGGCTGGGCCGATTGCGTTCAAATTTAGCACACCGCTAGCGACCGGTTAGAAGGGTGCTTTGCACAAGCCCGTTGGAAGTACCCTCTCGCCCTTGCGCACGTGCAGGGCTCACTATCTCGCTCGCTCGTTCTTCGCCCAAAAGGCGTTTTATTGGTAATATCCACAGAGTTGTTGTACGGCGTGACAAATTATCGTTCGTCGTACCCACCGCTGCAGACTTCTTTCTATTTCTCTGCATATTTGTTTGAGCAGTTGTGCGACAAACACGGCGCTATCACCGTATCTTCCAACACTGCCTCACAATTTCTCCCCGGCATGTTACCCGAAGGACCTATTCTTTATCCACGCTGCACACGAGTCCTGGCAGATCTGCCTTTGCATGACAAATGATGACCAAGTTTTTATCTTTATGAAAATAAGTTGGTCCTTATGGCAAGCTATTGACGCCCGAGTTCCAATGAGTGCAAGGGACATTAAGGGCTACTTAATATGCATGAACTGTTAAACCTCATACATATCAGACTGGCTCACTCAGCCTCCATTAGTTTCCGCAATGGATAACAAACTTCGCTACTAAACCGCTAATTTTGTTATATTTAGCTAGCTTGTTAACAATGTAAGAAATGTTTGCGCATTGGAACAGCCTGGAGAGTCGAATTCCGAGTCCAATGCATATGCCAGAAGGTATCCAGCCAGCATAGGGGATTTACTTCTCTCGGTGTGCGTTTCTCCCTAGCCGGTCGCAGGAAGGATAGAAGGACTCACGATCCACTCTGCAGCTAGAAGAACCGCAGGACTCCAGCCTACGCCAGTCAGAGGAACCGCAGGACTCCAGCCTACGCCAGTCAGAAGAACCGCAGGACTCCTTGCCCAGTGCCTACGCCAGTCAGAGGAACCGCAGGACTCCTTGCCCACGCCAGCCGGAGGAACCGCAGGGCTCCCGGCCCACGCCAGCCGGACTGATATGCCCCGATTCCCGCTCAGGGACATCATTAGTACGAGGAGCGCCTCCGTCCGAACAGGAGCCGCCGTGCTGATACCGAGCTGACGGCCAACTGATACGGACCGACAGGAAACGAGACGGCACGCGGGCCAGAAGACGGGAACCAGATACGGGCCGACCGGGCTGGTTGGTGGTGGGTGGTGAGAAGAGTCGCAGCGGAGCAGTCGCTGATGGAGGGATGGCGTCGGACGGCTGGGACAAAGGAAGGAAGGAACGCTGACGATTGGGAAGGAGCTGAAGGAGAGACAGGGGAAGGAACTAATGTCGGACTCTGATGGAGGCTATGAAAAAGCTGACAGGATCCAACAGATCAAGGGAGTAGGGGCCGCTGACAACTGTGACGGAGGCTGAGGGACCATTGACAGCTGTGATGGGGGCAGAGGGAACACTGCCCGCTGACGGACTGCGCCTGCCTAACCAAACCGGCGCCGACGGCGTGGCTGCCGCCGCCGGCGCCGGCCGCCGGGGCCGCCGGAGCCGGCGAGTGGCCATCTCCGACCCGTTATTTGTCGGCCCGGGCCGTAACTTGTCGACCAGCGGCGCCAGCGAGTCGGCCCAGTGACAAGTGGTCGGTCCGCGCCGGCCGTGGACCCCGTCAACCGGAAAGGACCGTGATGGACAGGAGTCCATCGTCTGCATGGTGACTGGCGCGCGGGCCAGACCGGGACGTCTACTGACCGCTGGGGAGGTACTCGGTAAACGCTCCATCGCCTCGGCCCTGAGTCATTGGTCGCTAGAACGGCGCTGTGTTTTTATACACATCTTCATTGCTCCGAGTTCTGACCGTTCAGAGTGTGATGAAGCAGCGTCAGGACAGCGCCACTGGTGGATCAGCGACCGGTCGCGGTATGAGCGGGCTGTGTCGCTGGTCGCCGGTGCCGGCCAGTGTTATGTCTGGGCCGCCCGACCGGCCGACCAGGTGGACGGGGTCAGCCGGCGGTGACCTTTCGAGCTGTCCCGTGCTATCCGGGTGCAGGGCACGTCACACGGCCGCGCTCCAGACCTGCGGCGCACTTCTCCGTCCACTAATGGGACGGACATGTGCTGTCGAATCGAATCGTATGCTCATTTGTTCAGGAATCTACGTTTTTGTGTTTTCCGACGAGGATCATCATTCCCTATGACTAAGCAGAGATGGTAAATGAAGTGTTGTCCTTTTAGCTTGCATTCATGATTGGTTACATGACACTTGACATACAAAAATGCATGCATGCACTTATCTGGCATATTAGGAGATATGATTTGCATAGAGTGATAAAAAATAAACAACTATATTTAATGACAATCGCGTATCATTATAGTATAAATTGCCCTGTGTTTTCTCGTTGGGCATTTCTTGTATTTCTTGTATAGATAGATTTGTGTAACATTTCTATTACACATTTCTATTCCTATATACACGTTTCTTGCATAAATGTGTGAAGTATGTACATTCATTGTTTTGATTTTACTCTATGAAAATGCAATATTATGTCCTAAAAAACCGCGTGCGTGTTCCATAAGAACTATGTTTTCGTTTCCCCAAAAGCTTTCTTACAGATGTCGTCAAAAGGGAGTTGATGTGCTTCATAAACCAAACCTTCCATTGTTAATTGTGTGACCCGGCGCCGTCACACAAAAGATGATTTAGGTATGGCCCAGCGATAAGTATGCCCTTGCGAGACTAGCACACATTCCGTAGCCAGACACGCAATTCAACCGGAACGAAGGGAAAAGTTATGTAACGCTGATAAAATGCCTTGGGCTCTGATTTTATGTACCAAGTCTTTCAGCAATCCGGTTGAAGATGGCTATCCTGATCCCAAGAATGTAATATACCAAAGTCGGCGCACTGTTTCTGGGAACGAATGGGTAAAACTCGGGGACGATATAGATACACATGAACGTAAAACAGTCGCCTGCGGCTATCTCGACTTGCGTGTGAAAAATGTGGGCGACCGTTTCCAAGCGCAGAAACGAACTGACGCAGGAGTTTTGGTAGGTTATGCTCCAGCTAAATGTTATTGCCTCATTGTTGTTTGGTTCATCTAATCTTCTCAAGGCGAATGGACGCCCGTTTCATGGGCATTGGAAGAGGAGGAATGCGTCGCTAGCTTCGGCAGAGGAAAGTAGGGCACTCAAAGTTGGTCGTACGGGCTGTCGTTTTATAGCCTAAACTGATAAAGTTGTTGAGTTTACTATTGAAAATGATATCCTAAAAACTGATATGTGTTGTCCATTTAATGTAAAACGTGTAAGATGGTGTAGGTACTATATTTTTTGTAAAATGTGAGTGGTGTGTGGTTCGCGCCGTTCCTCACCTTATGCATGTAAAACAATATGTTGGCACAGACATTGACAATGTATTCTTTCTTTTCAGTCGATATCATGTTCATCATAGATATTCTGATCAACTTCCGCACGACATATGTCAACAAGAATGACGAAGTGGTGTCGCATCCGGGCAAAATTGCCGTGCACTACTTCAAAGGCTGGTTTATAATTGACGTGGTGGCGGCAATTCCGTTCGACATTCTGCTTCTTGGAACAAAAACCGACGAGGTAAGCACTTCTCCGCTCACACGCTGAACCCTCCCAGCGGATTCTCACTCCCTCCACACACTTTGGGAGTGTCTGTCTGTCTGTCTGTCTGTCTGTCTGTCTGTCTGTCGTCTGTCTCTGTCATTCGTTCTTTACGGCATGCTTGTCTCACGTTACGCGCTCTCACAAATCTGGCGTTGTGCCCTCAGTGCAGTGACACAGCCCGACTATCTCTTCCCTCTCTTTCTATCTATTTTCGTCCGAGCTCATCACCATGCATTCATGCATACCTTCTTGCTTTATCTGTCGTATTTTCGCCACTACGACACAGTCAAGCTGAAACTGGAACCATATGTGTGTAGGTAGTATCGCCACATCAATAACTCAGCTGAGTACTTGTTGCTATGTTTTACATGTTGTTTCGCTTGTGTTGTGTATTAGTTTTGTTGTTTTAATGCGCTAATTCGCCAGCTAACCCTGAATGATAGTATTAACTGTTAGCTATGAAAAACATTTGTGTACTCAATCAGCTAAACAGTGCATGTTTTTTAGTATCTGCCGTACCAAAAACGATATTGGTCGGTCTAGACTATGCAATGATTGGTTGCCCTTTACACTAAATCTATTTAAAGGAAATAGCCCGCCAATATTGGAATTTGTTTGAGACCTCCTGTTATGTATTGCAGTGTTTTTGTTTTAAGGTAGCACCTGGCTCATCGTTTCGCCATATTCAAGTGTCATATTTTATCCGAGTAACAAAGTTTCCCATTTCAAATAAAAACGGAAATGTAATGATAGGTTTGCATTATGATTTGTGTATGTCAATATACCTGAACACCACACTTACTTGATGATTATCTTGGCTGTCCAGTGTTAAATATTTCAAATTTTGACTACAGACCCTGCTAGAGACCCAGATTGATGAAATGTGGTATATGGGTGTATTATACATTTCCATTTGAAATTTATTTCATTTTGCAGCGAATGATCAACATGTGTTATATCCATATAGTTTTCAGTACATTTGTATGTTAAATTTTGTGGTGAGCTATTTCCTTTAGTAACTAAGCATAGACTTTGGTAAATAACTTCAGTACAGTTCTTTCATTTAAGTTTCAAAATATTTTGCGTCATAGTCCGCCACTACATTTTAGGCGTTTTTATTTGAAATTAAAAGAACTAAGGATGTATCCATTTGTCATTAATATTTCACACTCATTATTCATAAATCTCTAAACGCTTTATGACCCATAAAGCTCTAAACACAAGTAAGTTTCGCTAAACTGTTTGTAAATTTTAAACACGCAATAATATCAAGCGCAGTAACTAGATGATAGTGCGTATGTGTACATGACGTCGCCTTTCGTTCCCCACAGAGTCTTTGGATTATTCTAACGTGGTTCTCTCTCTTTGTCTTTCTTCCATGGCCTGTTTCGCCCCCTACTGGTGAAATGCGCGCTGTTGGTTTTATGTGCTTAATCGCAGTCTGTGAGTAAGCAACCTTCATTTGCCGGCTTGGTTTTGGCTTGATGGTTTTCCTTTTTCTGTTGTGGTAGCCGGTCGTCTGGCCGGTGGAATTTTATTGTCACCACTGCAACAATACATTGCCAGTTCACCCCGCCCGTTTCTTAGGTGCATTTCGGGGCGGCCCACCGTCCCGGGTGGTCCATGTCGCCCGTCCCCCCACCGCCACCAGCCTGGGCCCTGTACGCTCGATACTTTTTGCAACTCAAACGGAAACGTTTTTATCCATAGCTATATAAAAAATCTAGACGTCACTTTAGCTGCGATTTGTCACACTTTTATCGTCACTTTTGCCGCGTTCTGTAGAGATATACCACGCGGTCTCTGTCATGCATATATTTATTCGATGAAAACGGCACGGCACCGACGCGTCTTTGGACAGGATCGCTTCACCAGCCGTGGCGCTGTCAAAAATAGCACAACGCCGTCTGATGCCTGTACAGAATGCGCCACCCGAAAAGTTGTGTATGGTATTGAGTCGTTTTGAATCCGATTTCCCGACTGGTATGGTTTGTTTTTGCATGATCTCATTACTGGTTAAGTGTCAGAATGTGATCGATCTATTCATTTCAGCCGTCAACGTTATGACACAAAACGAATTTCGATTTGTAAAGTAGAGAGCTAGCAAATGGTGTCACTATATCGTGGAATTATTTACGGTGTAATAGTACGTTAATGTGTAAGTGGTAAAAGCCTAGTCAAATAGTTTGGAAAGTGGTTATAAAGAAATACTATGTAGTATGATAACAACCTACCTATTGTTCGCACTTGGAGAAACCCTCGACCATATTACGTTATCTGTTTAAGTTTGTATAGATTGGAAAGTTTAAACACAGGGCTTTAATAACCAATGGCTGTACTGGAAGACTGTGACGTGGCAGCTTAATATGCATTGCTTTATTTTTGTCGTCAGCGTGATACTACTGACAGGCGTGCTCGTTCAATCGACCATTCAATCATTGATTTAAATTACTTTCTCATATTCTGCACACTAAAACTGTCCTTTTATAAGCATTGCTTTTAAAGGAAACTGACATTTTGCTGACAAAACGATCAGCCAACAGCAAATAAGTAAATAATGAAATATTTCAAAGCAACACATTCCTGTCAAAATTGTAGGCAAATCGAGTATTTTTAGTTTCCAATGTCACGGCTTCGGCATAATAAATCGCAGGCCTAACGCATTTATATATATATATATATATATATATATATATATATATATATATATATATATATACCTATATAAACTCCTAATGGAATGAATGACACACAACATTTCCATAAATTGAGTACAGTAACCGGGTGTGTGAACAATCCGACTGATTTCCTTTATTTCGATTGTTTTGCATGAACTGCCATAGGATGAAGTGAGTGCATTTCGTTTTGTTTTCCAGGATGTCGATAGTTAAGTTTGGAATAATTATGGCCTGTGATCCCAAGGTAACGTGTGTGCTCAATAGATATTTACTCTGAATGTGTATACATTTTATCAAAAATAGAAATTTAGTGAGTACCTACCCGTAATGAGCTGACAGTTGTCAGAGTATAGCATAGAATAGCGCAACCATAGACGATGAATGTCAAATCGAAGCGCAAAAATACAATGGTTCAATAATTCGCTTTATTAGACAACGCTACATTGCCTTTTTGTTGCTTTCGCATTTTACGATTACGTAGGAATGAGCACCTTAATGCTATCGGACGATGTCTATTGATATTAATTCAAACCAAGTTGTCTTAGTGCAAACTGCAAAGTCTGCTTTATACTTGCATTTACCAATGGTGATATCCCATTGCATTAGTATGTGGACTTAATATTTGATTACAAAAGATAGGGTATTGTGCCAAGTTGGTGAAGAAAAAATGTGGCCTGCAAGTTCAAGCAGTTTTAGGGATGTTTTTCAGGCAATAAAATACCGCTCTATTTACAATATCATAACATTTTATCAATTGCATCCAATAGCGACAAAACAACGAATTCATGTCACATTGGTATCGGCTTCCCTGGCCCTTGGAGCACATGCCTTTCAACGATGCCATGTTCAGTTCACAATTTAGAAAATATTTTAATAGCTAGGTCACATATCTTGAATTCATTCACATTCCTCTGTTGTATTTCTCAGTCTAGAGCAAAGTGATCCCTCAGAAACATCTACAAGGAAATGTGCATTACAAACAGCTTTTTTATTGAGTGTCGGTCCCAAAGTCGGTTGTAATGCGCGTTTACTTGGTTCAGGTTTATCGGATTGAATAACTTAACTATGCGCTTATTTTAATGCCAGATTTATCGCGATTCGAACACTATATAGCATCTTCTTATCTTTTTTTCAAACGTGGTACTTCTTATTCGACCTCAATCCTAGAGCAAATGTGCGATGGTATTTGAGGGACTCAACTTGCCCTTCACACAAAACCAAAATTATGATACAAACTTCTGGTTTTGAAGCCGTTAAACACCAAGCTAACATTCCTGCTCTTCCTTTTACTAAGCTCCGAACCTTATTTTGACGAATCATATTTCATACTGAGCACTAGTGGTAAACCCCCAAAACCCTGTGGTGCAAAATAAGTCGCTATAAGACGATTTGATATATTTTCAAACCATGCACAATTCAATACCTGTTTTGTTGCATCAGCATTAACCTAAACAGCAATGATATTTTTACTGCTGACCATTTCAGAACCCATTGCGTGCTCAAATCTGCCGAAGTGGTGCCAATCATAGTCGTTCACAGCGTTTTGCTTGCCTCTAGCATTTGAGTTGGTCCTGTTTTCGGGGCGTGTTTTGGTTACCTAGTGGGCCATGCTCTGTACAGATGCTGATCAATGTCGTGCAACCAACGTGTTCTGGTTTCATGATCTTGCAAGCGATAACTTTGACTAGCACTGAGCGCTGCCGCACCGTGTGGGCCCGGATCTAGCCATAGACTACTTCATACCGTGTTAGGCATTGCAGTCAATCTCAGGATTCTAGCTTTATGGCTGCGGAACGTCAGGCCGCTTTTTCTGTTTTGTGTGAGGGTTACCTATTTTCGTCTGCAGAACAAAATTATTTTTGAATGGGCTTGCGCTGGCATGGTTTGCCACTGAGTGCATTACTCCTACAGGCGGTCGCTTAGATGTTCCACTGAAATAAACCTTGAATCGAATCGAGTTGATGCTGAAGCCTAAGGGCGCCTGTACTTCTTTAATTCGATTTGCATTAGCTCCATATGGGGGTAAAATCGCTTGCGAACCGTTTTCTCAGCATATCCCAGCCGTCTCAAACCTCTAACAACTGGTTTCCTTGTGCACGACCACTGTAACGTAGCGTTTCCAGCTGTGTGCGGTGCTGGGACGGGGGAGGCGGCGGCGGGGGCCTGGCGACGGGCGGCGCTGACGGGCCGCCGGCCGCTCGGCGTGTCGTCTCCTGTTGCAGACCACCACACTGATCGGCCTGCTGAAGACGGCCCGACTGCTGCGGCTGGTGCGAGTCGCCAGGAAGATTGACCGCTACTCCGAGTACGGCGCCGGCTTCCTGCTGCTGCTGATGGCCACGTTTGCCCTGGTCGCCCACTGGCTCGCTTGTATCTGGTTAGTCTGCGACGCCCCCCCCCCCTCTCCCAAAAAATCAATTGAATGTTATTGGAAACTTATTCTGACGTGTTGATTGTTCGTCTGCTGTAAAGGCAGTTAGCCTGCGTGCATGATGTAGAGCTGTGGTAGGCGAATTGGTACACCTGCTGTCTGGAGTCCGAAACACATGAATCCTTCCTCAGATGCCACACCACATGCAATATCAATAAATTGTTTCTTTTGGTGTTTATTCACATCGACTAGTTTGAAATCAATGAACAACAAATCCCTTTTTCTATTGTTGCTACAAATCGTTATTGATGGATCTGATGAAACTGACTATCTGCCTCATCCGTCCACGGATTGCTTTTGGTTGTTAAAGCATTTATCAAAATCGGATAAGCTGCTCTGTGACGATCCTTTGCCTCGTTTTTGTCGTGTCTTGGCATATCGTGGAGATAATTTGACCGTCTGGATCGGATTTATTACCTACAGCAGTGATTTGATTACCGTCACATTCTTACCTGACACTCTACTGCCCGATGCCTTCTCCTCGTTTCCAGGTACGCCATCGGGTTCGCAGAGATGTCGAATCCCACAGGGTGGCTGCACCGGCTGGGTGAGGAGCTGAACGTGCCTTACGAAAACGGCGGCTCGGGGCCCTCCATCAAGGTGGGTAGTCAAGTGAACCACGATTCCCAGAGACTTTATTGGCGCACAGAAGGGAGACACTGCGTGGCAGTGCTCGCGCGATTTCGTGCCTGTAGCTTCTAGGGTAGAGCTGATAACATCATGACATTAATGTATATTTATAACCATATAACGACAAAAAGCTAATGGAGTTTGCAGTATGAGCAGCTCCTTGTCTCTGGCATATTTCCATCTTCCACCTCATTACTGACACAACTGCTGATGGCTGCCATGTTGGTCGGACATTTCCATATTGCTGAACGCCATAGGGGTCTATGTCATTACGGTAATTACGTGGTCTGGTCAGGGTGACCTGCCCAGAGGCTTAGAAGATGGTGATTCATTTATTTTTCACGAGGGTGATAGTAAAATATGGCAATGCAGTGCACTGTGCTGAAGCTTAGTGTTGTTGTTGTTGTTGTCGTTCCGGCCGACGGGCCCGGTGGGCCCACATGGGGGGCCCGGGAGGGCCCCAGCCCCCCTCGGGGGCGACACTTGCGACGTCCGCGCAGGGAGGGCAGCAGGCCCCCAGACGGGTTCCGGCTAACTCAGACGCCGGGTAGGGCCGGAGAAACCAGCACCCCGCCAGAGTGTCTAGCGCCGTGGGCGCTCTATAGTCGGCCCAGGCGCCGCAGGAACTCGATAACCCGGCATGGGTCAGCGAAGACCTCCCGCAGCGTCGGGTCCTCTCTCCCGAAAACGTCGTGACGGACGCGGGCCGTCGCGGGGCACGACGTCAGGAAGTGTTCCGCGTCCTCCCTGACTCCGCCGTCGCAGGTCGGGCACCCATCGTCCTCCTCCACCCCGATGAAGTGACGGTACGCTTGCAGGGCAGGGGAGTGGCCGGTCCGGAGGCGCGCCAGAGCGGTGCCCTCTCTCCTAGACAGGCCGAGCCTGTCTGCCAGCCTGACCCTGCCCGGGCCGACGACATCGTGGTAGTCGTGGCTTAGGTGCGGGCGGGTCGCGGGCGCAGGTCGGGAGTGGCGCGTGCTCTCCACCCACTCTCTGCTTACGTGGCGCTTCAGCAGGCTCTTGGCCGCCGCGAAGGTGATGAGTATCCCGTCCTGCGGCAGCTCAGCGGCCTCCCTGGCCACGGCATCGGCGATCTCGTTGCCGGCGACTCCCGCGTGACCGGGAACCCACTGAAGGTCCACGCGGTGGCGTCGTCCTAGTCGCCGGAGGGATAGCCAGACTTGGTCAGCGACCCGTTCAGTCTGGTTGGCCGGGCCCTCCCTCAGACGCATGAGGGATGATAGGGAGTCGGTGCACAGCTGGATATTGAGTGCAGGGTCTTGATCGGTGAGGATGGACTCGATGTATTTGAGTGTCTCTCGTAGAGCGAGGAGCTCCGCTGTGTAACTCGACGTGGAGCGCCCCGCTGGCGCTCGGATCCTCTTCACTTCCCTGCCGCTCCTATAGACGACTGCCCCTGCTCCGCCTCGTTCTGTGCCGGCTGTGGCCGAGCCGTCCGTGAAAGCCTGGACGTCCGGGTTCGGCAGTCCGGCTAGCGTCTCCTCGGCGGCAGTCCGTCGCTGTTCGGCGGGGGCGTTTTGCGGTAGCGGCCTCACAAGTCCAGTGTGGAAGAAAACCGTTGGAGGTGGCGGTGACTCCCAGGGAGGGGTGCTGGCAACCACCAGGAACGGTTCGCGTGGGAAGTCGTCTAGGCCGGCGTCTTTGGATATCTCTTGGCCCGTCCGTGCCCATCCTCTGTCATAGCGCTGACGTTGCCGGGGGCGGTTCTCAGGGAGGAGGATCCGCTGCACAGGGTCGTCTGGTAGGTCCCGGGAGTGGCGCTCCATCGCCACAGCCGCCAACTGCCTCCGCCGCGCCGAGAAAGGCAGGAGATCCGCCTCTCTGGCCAGGGCGTCCACTGGTGTGGATCTGACACAGCCGGTGATTGTCCTGCACGCCTGTCTCTGCACCGTTTCCAGCTCCCTCAGGCCAGACTCGCTGAGGCCGGGCATCCAGGCACCGGCGGCGTAGTCGGCGCAGGCGCGAGAGAAGGCGAGATATGTGCTGCGCAGATCAGACGGTGAGCAGCCCCACGTCGTGCCGCTGATGGCCCGGAGGACGTTGTTCCTTTGGAGCATCTTGGCCTTGATCGTCTTCACATGTCCCGTGAAGGTGAGGCTCCTATCGAGGGTGATGCCCAGGAACGTCGTGGTGGGGGAGAACTTCACTGGTTGGCCCTGGAAATGGAGCGCCGCTTCTCGCCGTGCCTCAGCTGGGTCGAGCGTGAAGATAGTGGAGGTAGTCTTCTCCAGGCTGACCACCATTTTCCAGCGTCGGGCCCACTCCTCCAGGCTGTCCAGGGCACGCTGCACCTTGGTCTCGGCGGCAGAGACGTCACGGTCGCTGCACCAGATGGCTAGGTCGTCGGCGTACAGCGACGCCGACACGCCCGGTGGGAAGTCGTCGGTGATGTCGTTGATAAAGATGTTGAACAGCGCCGGGGATGTCACCGCGCCCTGGGGGGTGCCGTCGCGGAGGACCCGGAACTTGCTCCTTGTGTTGTTTATTCTCACGCATGCTTGACGGTCCCGGAGGAAAGCCCGGAACCATGCTACGTAGCAACGGGGGAGCCCGAGGCGGGACATCTTCCAGAGGAGGCCCGTGCGCCATGCCTTGTCATAGGCTGTGGAAAAGTCCACCGTCACCAGCAGGGTCCGCTTCCTTTCTTCAAGGCCATCCGCCGTCGCCTGTACCAGCCTCAGGATCTGGTCCTCCGTCGACCTGCGTTTCCGGAAACCGGCCTGGTTGGGGTTCAGGAGTTGGCGTTGTTCCAGCAGATACATCAGGCGGCGATTGATGAGGCGTTCCAGCAGCTTCGACGTCGAGCTCAGCAGACTGATGGGGCGGTAGGACTTGACCTGGTCGGGTGGTTTGCCTTTTTTCAGGATCGGGACGATTTCTGCCTTGGCCCAGATGGAGGGTAGCTCGCCCCTCATCCAGGAGAAGTTGAGGAGTTGAAGCAGCCTGGCACGACCTCTTGTCCCCAGACGGACCAGCATCTCGTTAGCGATGCGGTCCAGTCCGGCGGCCTTCCTCGCGGGGAGTCGGCTCAGTTCCTCCGTCATTTCCGCCTCGGAGAACGGGGAGCAGCATCCCCGTCTACTGTGGCCGCACTGGGTGCAGGGCGTGCGGAGGAAGTCCGTCAGTTCGTGGGTCACTCGCCGGTCCTCCCGGACTCGTGGCGGTAGGTGGCTGACGGCGCTGTACACGCGCATGAAAGCGTCCGCCTTCTCGCTGTCCTTAGAGGTCCGGCGGTTCCCCACCCGGAGTGTGGCGTCGTCCCTCCTCGTAGTAGCGGAGCGGCCGTCTATGGCTCGGATGGTGGACCACACCTGGCCCACATCGGAGCGGAGCGACAGCCCGGACGCAAACGTCCGCCAGGACTCCTGCCGCGCCTTGGTGATGGTGAGGCTCGCCTCCTTGGCCGCTTCTCTCCAGGCCGCGCCGGCCGCCGGGTCTGCCTTGGCCTGGGCTCGGAGCTCGTCCCGTCTCCTGACGGCCTCGTCCACCTCCTCGGTCCACCACGGCACAGGGTCACGCCTGGCGCCACAGGGGATAGCCCTGGCCGCCGCAGTGATGACTAGGTCATTGAACTGGTAGGTTGCAGCCTTTATGGGTGTGTGTTCGTCCCACTCTGGGGAGGCCGCCAGTTTCTTTTCAATGATCTTCTCGAACAGGGCCCAGTCCGCTTTCTTGAAGGACGGCTTGGTCTTACGCTTCTCCTCTTTCTTCCGTTTGCCCACCCGCACTTTGACCAGTATCGGGAAGTGGTCCGACGGTAGTGCTGTTAGGGTCTCCCACTCCACCCGGTTTGTGAGCGACGAGTGGTGCAGCGTGATGTCCGGTGTTGAGAGGGCATACGGGGGGCCGGGCTCTGTCGGGTAGGGGCTCCGGAGTTGGCGACCACAAAGTCCCGCTGGGAGATCCACTCCTGGACTTGCTCCCCGATGGCGTCCTCCTCCACGAGCGGATCCCAGGCCGCACTGTGGCCGTTCACGTCCCCGAAGATCATGGCGTTGGTGTCGTGAGGCCACTGGTCCGGTGTGAAGTGTTGGGTCCGGGTGTCCGACATGGAGCTTGCACGGATCGGCGGCAAATACACGTTCAGGGTCTTGATACGCAGGGGGCATTGCAGCTCGACCAGCAGAGCGTCCGTGGTTTCATCCTCGGGGGCCGTACACCTTGAGTCCAGGACGGTGAAGGGGGTGCCCTCCCTGATGAGCGTCGCCACGCCTCCTCCATAGGTCGTCTCCGCTCGTCGGCCTCTTGTCCGATCCCTGCGTATGACATGGTAGCCGTGTATTTTGAGGGTGTCCTTGGATGTTAGTTTCGTCTCCTGTAGGAACATCGCAGTCGGCATCAACTCATGGAGGACTTTCTCCAGCTCGGTCTTCTTGGATTTCACGCCGTCGCAGTTCCATTGCAGGAAGACGGCCGCGCTTGGGTTCCTCGTGGCTCCGTCGGACTGAAGCTTAGTGTCGACGACCTGGTTGGTTGGATAAGATTCGCTGGGGGCATTATGAGATAAATTTTGACATTTTATCTTTTTGTCTAATAGGTGCACCATGAACTATTATATAACTGGTATCGTCTATGTCTATCTTGCACCTTCTTGAATTGTTACCTTGAATCATTCAATATCATAATTATTTTTGGGTACGTTATTAAATATTGTGCGACCTTGTATTCGTGGATTGCAGGTGGACGAAACATTGGGAACATACCCTACGCCATCACTACTAATAGCTATGATATCCCAAATGCAGCTGCGCCATCAGCATCAGAATTCCATGATTGCAGCACGTTGCAAATGGTTCGCATTACCAGACATTTCCATGCAGCAGTGCGATTGATTTTTCCGGGCGGAATATTGCTGGCGCCGCTCGGCCGCTGCGCCACTCTGTCCGGGAGCTGGCGGATTTTGCCATCCGCTCCCCTCTCCTCGGCCTCTAGGGAGGCGGTGTTACGCGTCTCCTCAGTGGGAGCAGTGGGCCGTGCCAGCTGCCGGCCTATTGACAAGGCTGGCACTGTTAGTAGGCGCCCGCCGGTCGCCGTCGCTCCGACGCGGTTCGACGAACGCGGCCGACGCGCCGCGCTATGGCGGAGGAACTCGTCAGACGCGGCCGACCCTGCAGTCGTCCCGCCTCGGCCATCGGTCGTTAAAAGTCGCCTCACTGGCTGAGAACGGCGGCTCTATGGAGGCTGCGATGGCTGTAGTACGGGGAACAGGGTGATGAGCCACGAACAATGTCTCACTGCCGACTCCGTCCTTCGTGCTTCTGGCGAACAGCGTCAAAGTCATTTTCTGAACAGTATTAGATGAATGCATTAGTTTAATGAGTTGGCCTGGGGTGAATGATTACCACTGAGATTAGATTATTGTCCGAGAGAAAATCATGTTGTCAGAATGCTTGGAAAATTATTGAAAGTAAAAGCACATACGTGTAAACGTTTTATCAGGGCCAGCTCGTCCAAGGTAAATGGCGCCGCCTGGCTCGGGAATCTAATCTAGGAATTCTCATTATCTGGAGAATTCGGCGATGACAGGAGCCATGTCAGGATGACTGAACACCAGTTTTTGCTCATCTAGGAGGACGACCAGCATCCTGCTGCCCTTTCATTCCTGAGCTCTACGTTCACTTTTAAACCACGTGAAGAAGTAAGTTCATATTGACATTTTCTTCGGTGACTTTTTTCAGCTCCTCAAAAAAGTCTGACGGTGAATGACCGAGATTATGACTTTTCATTGGAAGTTCGGCGCAAATTTGACAGGTCTTGTAATTGCTGTCGAGCATGGGCCATTCTGGGTCTTATTGAAGACATCCCTTGCCCATCAGATATTATGTAATAGAAACAGAATTAAACTCCTGTCACATCCGGATCTATCATATCATTAATTTAACATATGCCATATCGGAGCATGCAGCAAGCAAACGTGACAACTTCCCTTCGTTTACAGAGTAGTAGAGTGTGTCGTACTCGCATTCATATGCAAACTTCGCCCCGTGTCATCTATTCAATATATGCAGGTGACGCACACTGCACACGATCGTCGTCATAACGGGGCGCTCAGTATGCAATGCCGCCGCCCCTGACCGTTTCCCAGCAGCAGTTAGACGTGACTGGCGTGGGCGAGCGTGTCTCGCTCGCTCGGCTGTGACGATGATGCGCGCCGTGCGTTGACGTGCCGTGTACGTTGACGTGCTCTCTGCCGCCTGTTTCAGAGTCGGTACGTCACAGCGCTCTACTTTACGTTTACTGCCATCACGTCTGTGGGGTTTGGCAACGTGGCGCCAAACACAGACGCAGAGAAAATATTCACCATATGCACAATGCTAATTGGCTGTGAGTATAGCGTCACATCACTTTGTCGTCATGTTTTGATTTCCTATCAAAGTCAAATAACATTTATCATGCATAGTTTGTCAAAAAAAAAACTTGGAAGTTTTTTACATGCACTTTTTTATATATGTCCAACTACTTATTGTCAAGCGTTTGGCGTATGTCCCCGTCATGTGTCCATCGTTGGCTGCTGCTGTCGGTTTCCAGTTCCGTGGAGTGACTCGCGCGTCGCTCGCTGTGTTTACGGAGGTGGCTCGTTCGGTTGTCTCTGCCGCCGTCGGCAGTGGTCGGCTTTGGGTCGACTCGAGCTCAGCTCGGCCGGCGGCGATTCTGTTTACCTGACCACCACCTGGTGGCGGCCCGCCGAGTCACCTGTTTACCGGGCCCAGCTGCGCCCAGCCGGCCGGTCGGTCCGGGCGGCCCCGAGCGGCCACGAGCGGCCGGTGGACGGGCCTGGCCCGCGTGACCTCCGGTGGTTGTCCCATCTAGCGGCTTACGTCTCACCGAACAGTCCCAGTGCGGTGGTCCGCTGTTCCATAGCGATCTGTATACAAGATCTCTAAGCGCTGTTCCCCACCAACCAACCGGCCAGGCTCAGACCGCAGACTGAACTGTCCCCGTGGCCAGAAATAGGAATGAATCAGCGGAGCGATGAGTCATGCAAAACGCACATTGGGACAAGCCATTCCCTCCTTCCTGTTACACCCTCCTTTGATCCTGCTGGATTTTGATCCTGCTGGATCAAAGGAGCTGGGCTCTTTGATTCAGGCTGTGTTTATACGCAGTAGAAGGGAATTCACCTAACCACCCAGCTATTTCATTTCTTCATTGAACATGTAGTCCTGGTAATACCCCAGCTAACGTCTGCTATCCCCGACAGCGCTAATGTACGCCAGTATATTCGGTAACGTCTCGGCGATCATCCAGCGGCTCTACTCGAGTACCACGCGCTACCACACCCAGATGCTGAGGGTGAAGGAGTTCGTGCGATTCCATCAGATCCCGAATCCGCTCCGGCAGCGACTCGAGGAGTACTTCCAGGTAGGTGACCAGGAGCCTCGCTCCTGCTGTTACAGGATCGACATCACACTCGATTGGGAGTCATACAGTGGTAACGTGGAAGCTTTGACCATTGTGCCGAGATTAATTTGGTTCTAAGTGAAAAATTAGCTAAGTGAGACTGAAGAGTCATGTCTTAATAGTTAATACCCAGGTAAATGCTTATTTGAAATTGTTTTAATGGACTTTCACTGGGTAGTGGGTAAAAGTTTATATAGTTATATAGTAAAAGTTATTTTACTATAGTTAACTTTTACTATAGTTATATAGTAAAAGTTTATATAGTAAAAGTTATTATAATAATAATAACTTTTACCCACTACCCAGTGAAAGTCCGTTAAAACAATTTCAAATGAAAAATTAGCTGCAAGTCTTCGCATGAGCTCCAAGTACTTTACATCAACTTTATCAACCTGCATCACATCAGCGGTACTCTGATTGGCACGAGTTGACACATCAGCTCTATTTATCCCTCAGTGGGTCATTATCCGATCGTACTCATTGCCCACTCATAATCATATCCGACGGTTGTGTTTTTTTTCTTTTACAGCACGCCTGGACGTACACAAACGGTATCGACATGAACAGCGTGCTGAAGGGGTTTCCCGAGTGTCTTCAGGCGGACATCTGTCTGCACCTGAACAGGACGCTTCTGGAGGCGTGCAAGGCGTTCCAGGGAGCCAGTCCCGGCTGTCTCAGGTGAGATTGCAGCTGGAGAAGTGTAACTGTGCCTATATAATTTCTAGAACTTCTTGGGAAAGTATGCCTCTTCCCGAAGCGTCTGATAGCTCTTTCTGGAACCTCCAGTGAAACTGGCCTGCAATTGGCGATGGATGTGTGTTTATGCTGCAATCCTTGCTCTATTCTAGGGTTTAATTAGCAATGTTGCTTTGAGTTGAGTAATGTGCAATATTGGATTGGCTTAATATTAACAGTCAACATAGAAACGATAGCGAGAGTTACTAAACCACACACGTTAGGATATCCTGGATGTGCTCTAGTGCCCACTGCCTATATGTCGCATTGACCAATTGACATACACTCGTCTCGGTACCCTGTGGATAAGGTCCGCCTCGTCCTACCGGACTGACGCCATAACTTCTAGATGGCTTCGGCTGTAACCGCCTGGAGCTTATGCTGTGCCGCGGGACTTTATTAATAGCTCATAGATGGCGCTAGTGGTAAGCGCCTGAAGTATATGCTGTGCCGCATAACATTGAACTCTTGCCTATCCCGACGAACGAGTGGCGCAAAACCGTATCGTGTTTCTTACTTTCATAGAAAGTATCGTGTCGAAGAACAATCCAGTTTCTCACTCGGGAACCGCTGCACGCATCTTGTGTGCACTAGAGATGTCAATCGGATACCAACTTTTTGGTACAGCGATGCCAAACCGATACCAACTTGGTATTTGGTATTTTAATCCTAATGTTTTTGGTATTTTGTTGTCATGATGAATCCTCGCTAATGTATAAGAGGCTGCGAATTTGGTAAAAAGTTGGTATTTCCCTAATATTCTCAAGTTGGTTCGGTTTCGGTATTTTCTCATGGTTTCAGTTGGTATTTGGTTTGGTATCGGTTTTCAAATTTCCCGTATTTAACATCACTTGAGTGTGCACCCTCATGTTCCTCTTCTCTGAACTCTGCGATCTCCCTGTCCCCAGGGCGCTGTCGATGAAGATGAAGACGACGCACGCGCCACCGGGCGACACGCTGGTTCACCGGGGCGACGTGCTACCGTGTCTGCACTTCGTCTCCCGCGGCTCCATTGAAATACTCAAACATGATATTGTGATGGCCATACTGGGTGAGCTCCATGCTTGTGACTCTTTTCAACAAGCTTGGGCGATAGATGAGTCTGGTAGCATGTTATGTCGTGATTCTTTGGGAATTGGCTGCTGGTGGTCAGTTCAGTGGAATAGCTGCAAGACAGCGTCCCAATCTAAGCTTTTTATTAAACCCGTCAAACTTTTCGTTGTTAAGTGGTAAATTACTTCTGAGAATTGAGTCCCATTACTTGCCTATCAGTTAACAATTACCATACTCATGTGCACGTCGATTTATTAGGAAACACAACCCGTTTAATAGAGCAAAAGGTTACCTGTTTCGATTGTGGTTGCTCTTCTCTTCAGTGCTGAAGAACTTTATACAAGGTTATGCGGTCATTATAACTATCCCTTGCGGTCAGGAACGATGGAATCTGAGATGCCTTTATTTTGATCCACAGGGAAAGAGGACATATTTGGTGAGAACCCTTTGAAGTATCCTACAGTGGGCAAAAGCTCCTGTAATGTGCGTGCCTTAACTTACTGTGATCTGCACAAGATATACCGGGATGATCTGCTGGATGTGTTGGAGATGTACCCCGAGTTCAAGGAGTCCTTCAGCCAAAACCTGGAGATCACCTTCAACCTCAGAGATGTGAGGAGATATATTGGCGGCTCACTGTATTGAAATATCTAATGGGATTTGCTTTGATTCCTTTACATTATGCATACTGGCAACGCCTTTGGGATGAGTTATGCTGAGATATCACTTGAGGTTGGGCGTCAGTCCATTGGCGTGTGCCAGACCATCTGACAGGCCCTGACATGTTCTGTCCTGACCTGACCTGTTCTAACCTGTCGTGACCTCGCTCCTCAGGAGGAGTGTGCCGGCGTGGACCCGGCGGTACTCAGTAGGCGGGGCCTGTACGCCTCTGACTCTGTGAACGACTCGGACGTCAAGAGTCGGGCGTACCAGCGGCCGCGGCGGCGAGGGTTCGGGCCCAGCGCCACCGAGGAGGAGGCCGGGTGGGTGTCCACTGCCCGGTGTGGGGCTGTGTTCAGATGTTGCCCATTGGATGTTGCCCATTGCCCATGTTCATTGCTTCTCATGTAGCGTGGCGACTGACTACACTCCATCGATCTATGTATGTATCTATGTATGCGGTGAAATCAAGATATTTTTATTCAGTAATTATAGCAGAATGAGTAAACATCGTGCAAATTATTTGGTCGTCGCAGTCACTCCCATAACCTCTTGCTGGCCAGAATGACACATTTGAACTGTCCTTCACGTTAAAGTGTTGCTCAGCCTGCGGCCGGGCCCGGCAGTGAGGGCCGAGTGTGTCTGTCAGTGTATCCGTCCGTGACCGTCTTCGCCGCCTCGGCCGTCAGCGAGGGCCTGCTGGACGGTGGCGATGAGAGTGGTACGGGTATCCTGGAGTTCTCGCCAGACAAGGCTGGTCAGGACGTGACGCCGCTCAACCTCGACTTCAGAGAGCGCGAGCAGAGGGAAAAGGAGAAACAGCACATGAACTCGATAGCCGGTAAGTTTCCCCGCCGCTTCGCTGGGTCTTCTCCCCACCCTAACCCACCTGCTTATTGGAGTGATTGAACATGACTGAGATGGATGTGTCCCAAGAGTTCCAGCGGCTGGCTAGAAGCTCGTTGAGCCTAATGGCGGCCAAGTTTGGTAGAGATCTGATTTGAGAGGCAGCCTGGTGCACTGAGCGGCTGAGCCCGCCTGTGAGCTCGCCTTGAGCTCGCTGTGAGTTCGACTGAGCCACCCGCGAGTTGTATGGCCAAGGCTGGCGTGTTGGGCTGGCTGCACTGCACTAGCTTGCTGTCCTGTTGGCTCACGTCCTGTTGGCTCACAGTGGGCCGGATCCATTAGTTGTTCGGTGTCCGCCCCTGTTGAAATGCTACTGGCCAAGGGCTAGCCCAACCATTCCAGTGAAGTTTGTTGGCGTTTAGGTACCTACCATTACCCTCGCCACCACATAGTGGGCTGGTAGTCTGTCCCATAGACATCCTAAGGAAAACCGTTCACTTCACATGCATGGTGCGTATTTGTACCCTGTCACATAAGCCACTCCAACGCAGTTTTATGAAAAGGGGACTTGTTATATATTTGATAATCAAGGTGTTTTACAGTACCGCATGCTTTAGGGTTTGTATTTGATATACAAGAACGTTTACGTCATTTTCACAGCTAAATGAACGTGAAACGTAAGCCTTAAAGGTAGTGTGCCACCTTCCAATGATTTCCCATTTTATTTTTCCTAGGATAAGAGGCTTCTGTTTTTACCTAATATCGCAAAAAAAATCAAAAATGGGCCTAAAATAGTGCTTTTTTCGCCTAAAAGTTTATCGGTTTTTCGATATGTATAACAACTGTAGTGGGCTGACCTGCAAACAGGCGTCGGCAACAATCGCGAATGCGGCGCACATGTGACAATAAGCAAAGGTCATTATATAGTTACGACGTACCTACGGAAATGAGTTATCAGCTGTCTAATCGTAGACAACACAATGTCGAATTTAAACTGTAAGCCTGTATTGGTATTGTTTCTTTGGCTGTCGAACATTAATTTATGGTTTAAAATATTATTTTATGTAAAATAATTGATATGAAACAGCCGTCTCTAAAGTTATGACCCCATCTCACCACATGAAAGTGGCAGAAATGACAATGATCAGCTGACGCATTTTTCTTGGCCGAAGTCAGAGCGCGCGGCCCGACGCACCACCACCGCACCACAAAGTATGAGCAGAAGCCACCTGAGGTAGACCGCGCCCAAAGCCAGGGCCCCGGTAACGTGAGGTAGCCGAGTCGGGGCAGCGTGCGCTGACCCAAGCCGGGGCCGCGGCTTTGGGCGCGGTCTACCGCATCCCCGCGGGCAGCCCCGGGCTATCACATGACACCGGGAGGACGCGCGGCCCCGGCTTGGGTCAGCGCACGCTGCCCCGACTCGGCTACCTCACGTTACCGGGGCCCTGGCTTTGGGCGCGGTCTACCGCCCCACCTAACATGCGTGTTCGAAACCGCAGGAGATGATGATGAACGGGTTTATCGAAACTTGATTGGATGAGCCTATCGGTAATAGCGATTTCAGTGTGTGCATTTATTGTTCATAGTGGTGTGAAATGTGGTTGGGGTACGACCGACAACCCGTCGGGGCGAATTTCGCACTGGGGTACTCAAAATTTGAAGAATTTAAGACGTTTCCATGAGTTTTGAAGGTATGGATAAGTTCTAAAAATCCGATTCTCCTTATCTGGGTCATTAACTCCATACGGTCCAGGAAAGCTGGCACACTACCTTTAATGGTAATCGTACTTTGCTCCACTTTCTAATGCTTCATAAATCCAGAAAACTGCATTATGTTACCAGTATTGATTATATGAAAATGGTGTGTGTATAATCCCACTATTTCGATCACTTCGGACGTAACTTATTCAATGAAATACGTCTGTTTTTATAATCAATATCTTTTCAGTTAAAGCATGGCGTAATCGCAGTCAGTGGCATAGCTCAAAATGCGTGCATTTAATTACCTCTTCTCTTGCCTCAGCTGTCGCAGATAATGAATGATAAAACCTTGCAGCATCGCTAAATTTGCTGAGAACGCTGCACCAATTGGCCAACTATTCTTAGTTGATAACATTGTAGCATTTTCTCTTACTTTCTTTTCTACTTTCGATGCGAAAATCAACTATAGATGCACATTCTGCCACTCGGCCCTCCCACCGTGTCTGTCTGTGTCTCGATGTCCCCGTCCTAGCTTGTGACTGTCTAGCGGCCTCCGTCTCTCCACTGTGAGCAGCACTGCGCTCGGTGCTCGGTCCCGTGCAGTGGTGCGCCCTCTATCACAGCCACGCGCCCCACCGTGCGCCACTTCTCACCCGTCTCTCCAACTCTGCACCCGTAGGAGTGTTCTCCAACATCAAACGGTCGATCACAGACCTGCGATTGTTGAGAAGTGAACGGCACGAGCTAGAGCCGCAGCCAGGTAGGCGCCGAGCCTCTGTAGCTGTCTGTCTGTCTGTGTCTGTCTTTCGCATGCCTCCCAGTACTGGCCCTCCAGCCTTGTCGCCGTATGCGAGTGTGTGTATGCCCAGCTTGCTTGCCGTGTACGAGTACACGACCTCGGCCACTGGGGTAAGGAGTCGGGTTGGGGCCAGAGCCAGCCGAAGTCGCCGTGTGGACCGCATCTAGAAGATCACCGGAGTTCCTCGGAGGCCATTGGAGCTCCCCGGAGTTGACTGGAGGTGGTGAGGTCACGGAAGTGGTCAGCGCAGTGCCGGCGGCACGGACGGGACAAACGGGAGCGCTAAGCGCCGCACGCCGCTGTTCGCAGGTGGTCTGTCGAGCACGCTAAACATAGTCAGTGCCGTGGTCAAGTCTGGCCAACAGGAGCAGAGTCTGCGCTCCTCTCAGCTGCTGGGCGCCGACCTGACGCTAGGTAGAGCCGGCATTCGAGTGACGACTAACTCTGAGCCCGCTGCTCTGTGCCCGCCCCCGCCCCGCCCCCGTCCAATACCCCGCCCCGACCGGCGAGGGAGCCGTACCCTCACCTTCCTTATACCTCTCCCCCTACCCCTTCCCATACCCCAGAGCCGAATTTCCTTTCACTCATCTCACCCACCGTCCCCGGCTGGCCCTTATGGGTTATTTGTTCACCCCGTCTTTGGTTCCTCTCTTCTCCGTGTTCTCTCTCCCACCCCACCGCCTCAGAACCTCTCTGTGTAGAGCAAGCATGCCCTCATGTATGACTGTTAGTAGTTCTCTCGGTCGTGTATTTCTCTGGTGTATGGACCGGTATGATCATGTGACCTATTAGAGTCGATCTCTCAATGATCTGTTCGCTCTTTTTGATCTGTGGAACTGTCTCGGTGACTTGTCGGACGCTCGTGCCGTCTGTTAATTTCATTTTGCACGGGCTATGGTAATGGACTATGTTGTACGAACGATATTGTGTACATTATTGGGCTCTGAATCTGGCGTTATGTTTGAAGGGTTGAGGCACAGACACAGCGATGCGTCCGCTAGGTACCACCGAAACTGGCGAGGCAAGTGTTAGAGTCACACACTCTGTCGACTCTGACTATAGTGTGCAGTGGCTAAATACAGTGACTATCACGGCTCAGCGCAGTATTGTGAGCTTTCATGTCGATCCATGTACTATATGGTCATTGCAGCTTCCGCGAAACCCAACCTGAGCAACGCTATTATATCAGTGTGATTAGTGCAATTTTTATATGTTGATGTGACTAATCGGTCTACAATTACGCGATAGATACATTGCGTAATGCAAATGTTTTGCAAGTGAGTATAGCTTCTTATCCTACATTCGTAAAAAGCCTGCAATGTTGGGACAGTCGGCATTAAACGCCTTTCTGCACAGTTTCAACACAAACACTATATATGATTATAAAATATCAACTTATTCTACATGGCTAACCTATACAATATACATAAACCCTAATCGTGTCAAAATTAAACAGATACATTTGTTATGAATACAATTTTTGTTTTGACGTTAATCTCGGGGTCTTTTCGTGTTCCGCTAATAAATGCTACTTTCTGTGGCTAACATTACTCCCGGTGCTAACATAACCGGTGCTAACTGTGTGCGCTTTGTAACCCTGGTGGCTTTCGCAAGTTCTGTTGTCTGTGATTTTAATTTTTAACATCTGTATTGCAGCGTTGTTGATATGTAATGACTGATGTGGAGCGGTCTCTAGCAATGAGGGAGATTGGACCAAGGCGTTCGCCATGAGCATTCGGTTGCAGTTATCCCGCATAAAGATCAAACGCTCCATATAATTCAACTTTGGGTTAACGACAGTTTAGATACAATTATGTGTGTAAAAATGTCGATAATCGTATCCGGTCCGAAAACTCAGCACTGCATACAGATTCCCTTGCAAATGTGCACGATCAGTTACATTGGATACCGATTTATTATTTGATTTCGAAGCTATCATCCGATCTTTCATTAGCTTTGTTCAAAGGAGCGCACCGTATACATGTAGTTGCAGATGAATGTAATCGGTCGCAGCTAGATGATATCGATGTTACGTTTAATCATATTTTGTTGTTTTTATGATGGGAATGGTGAATCGTTGAAATGTAACAATAGTAAAATTTCAATGTTTGAAATGATCAACCATGTTAGGACGAACGTCGTAGTTCAATCTCCCATCATGCATTTGGTATGCCTTTTTGGTGGTGGGCGGCATGATGACCATAGACAGGCATTGTTGTGGATGACATTCGGATGTGACTCAAAGTCAGCTAAATGACAGAGAACGATTAGTGAACTAAATGACAGAGAAGTCATTTAGTTCACTAAATGACTTGTAAGATACGTGTCTTTTTAAAGCTTCCATATTAAAGAAGATAGCTGGCTGTATGGCTGTGTCCCGTCTGCCCCGGCTGACTGTTTCGTGTGCCGGCCGCCAGGGTCGCTAGTGCAGCGGCGGCACTCGGAGATCCCCACTCGCTCGTCGTGGCTGTCTCGGCGCGAGCCGGAGCCGGCAGCGGCGGCGGCAGCGGCGGCAGAGACCGTCAGCAGCGCAGCCGTCAACGCGCGGATAGACGACCTGAGCAGGTGAGCGGAGGCGCGTGTAGAATTCATAAACAGGCGAGGAGGCCGCTACTGGCCTTATATGTGAGGACAGACGATCTGAACGGTTGATTTTGCATCATGTGTAATACACCGTTCCCTCTTTTCCATCCTCAGGACAGTCAAATCCTTTTCCTCCACGCTTCAACCCCCAGCTCCGGGCTGGACGGGCAGCTTTATCCCATGCGGGAATGTCCGTAAGAGCACGCCCCTAGCCAAGTGCGGTGAGTTGCTTGGGGACTGCTCGGCCTGTCCACTGGATGGGCTCAGCCCCGGGAACTCATCAGGGGCCCACCGAAGCCAATATCTCCCCCTAATCTTATAATCCTTCCGGCTCTGAAATGGTCTCGTCAGACCGAAAGGGCCTAGCCAAACAAAACAAAAACAAAGGCAAGCTTGTGTAATATGATGTTTGCTAAACAGGCATCAGTCCATTTCCGAACACGTTCAGAGGCTGTAATCTGTATGACCGTGCTACAGTCACAGATGTTCGACTGACTATGAACGTCTCTTCCTCAGACAAGTGCAGCGGCTAGACGACCGGCTGCACGAGACGCTGGAGACCATCGTCGGCCTGCTGCGGGACCGGGACCGGGACCGGGACCGGGACCGGGGGTGTACGGACCGGCTCCAGGTCACCGACGAGAGACGGTCCCCCTTCAGAGTACCTGACTCACTACAAAGGTAGGTCTGAATAAAAAAAGGTACACATGCACAGGTCCTTTAGAATAATGTCAGAGATCATGTTATACTAACTATTTCATAAGCGGCTTTCAGTTGAGTTCACAATCGCCCAAGCTGGTCTGCTTCAAAACCGGAGTACTTCGTCAGAACTGAGAGCTTTAGAATGGCTCGATAACATTAACGTGATTAAGGATAAAATCATTTTATTGTGATGAATTCAATCAGTGCACCACACGCCATTTCTACTACCGGGGGCTCACACGGTCTGGAACGCCTTGTTTTATCGTCAATACGGCATGTTTTGTGATAAAATCGCTTCACATGCAGCGACACACCTCCCACTGACGCGGTGTGTCCGTGCCGCAGGCGCCAGCCGTCTATCTCGCCGTCGGATAACGGTGGTGGGGGCGGCGGCGACCCCTGGCAGCCGGCGATGCCTTCCTCCCTGCCGAGCGATGCGCCGGCCGGTGGAAGGCCACCGCCGCCACGCAGCCACTCGCAGCCGGTGGATCTGACCCAGGTCAGTTCAGTGACGCATCTCAGCTGATATATCACAACGGACGCCTGACACCTATCTCTTGACAGTTTGGGGTATAACCCCGCCTGACAGGGGGAGACGGGGTCAGTTTAGACGACTCGGGTCAGTATGGAGGGGAGGAAGGGATAATAAAAAGACACGAGTCCATAGTTTATGCTGACATTTGAAGTCGACGTAGCTTTTGTAGAATTGATTTCGTCCCGTCAGTTGATGACATGACATTACCCTGAGGAAAGTTCCGTAAGACGAGGATATTTGAATGCTCATATTTCGGGCTTCTCTCGACTGTTCACGTCTATCTACCCTCAATACCATATCAGTGCTCCTTGCTGATCCACAGTGGCACCTGCTCTAACCTCCGACCCTCGTTTCGGTCCCCACAGTTCCCCCCTCAGCGGTCCAGCTGGGGTCGGCAGTCGTCCCTGTCGCCGGCAGCCGAGCCGACCGGGTCGACGGGCTCGGCGCACCACCGGACGTCCGCCACCGCACTCCAGGTAGAGGAGGCGTGTAAGCAATGTTCCGCTTCTCTCCCGCCTCCCTCCCCGCCGCCGAGGGCCGCACCGGGCCCTGTCCGGCCCGGCCGGCGCCAGTAGGCTCTCTCTCTCTCTCTCCTCTGGTGTTTCTCTGTGTGCGTTTGTGTGTGCGCCGCCTCCGCCAGCGGCGTGCGCTTTGCCGCGAGCCGCGCCTGTGCCTGGGCGCGGCCAGCTCTACTCTGTGGCTGTGTCGTGTTGCTGGAATGGCTTGACACTTTTTGATGGCCCCGTCTCTTTGCTGTGGCTGGCGCGGGCGCGGGGTGTGGGGGCGGCTGCTGACGCTGTGGTCGTTCGCTAGGTGGCGCCGGCGCAGTCGGCCGACCAGGCCGAGAACAGCTCGTGACCGACAGTGGTGACACGCCGCGATCGTGAATAACGTGAGAGAGCTCGACTCACACGGCGCGCGCAACACTCACACACACTCGGTAGAGGCGTAACTCACACTCAGCACGTAACTCGAGTTTACGAACGACAGATGCAACATTTAGATGCAGACCATACAATGTCTCATGACGATTTATGATGCTTCCAAGCATTCAATGGTGCCTATATAAATTGGCTAGTGGTGTTTTCACTTTTCATACTTGATCTAAAATGGGGTTGGGATTTTTCATGAAAAGGGAATACCAACCTCTGGCCTCGGTTTGCTAAATTAATGGCTGCCCGAACTACGGTAAACGGTTAAAAAAAACTACAAAATATACACATTGTAGTGGATTTATTCTTGTTTTTCTCTTGGTGGGTAGCTAGGATGCACAGATCACAGCGTGCTTACTGTTTAGTTGAGGTCTAGTCGGGCTTCTGTTTTATGTCTAGCTGTATATCTGGCTTCTTTCCTACCTATTCTCCCGGCATTGTCGCTTTGTCAAATGTCGAGTGAAAGCACCTGTGCATGCATATCGAAATTGTTCGCATAGGTGCGTAATCTTGTGCCTGAAATTCGTGAACACATTGAACATATCACTCGGTATGAAGCGACCAAAAGACCTTTTCATTTGCATTTGTGAGAGCATCTCGGCATATATTGCTATTCGCGATAAAAGTACGTGCCTGAATATGAAAAGAGAATGTTGCATTTCATTATATTTATAAACTTTGTCTCTCTTTCAAGCTCAATTGACCAGTTGTCTGCGGGAGTCGCTCAGCCTTCAGAGGCACTGTGAACCTAGTGTGTTGACTTTTCGCTCTGTGCCCGCTTCCAGGAGCCGTCCGTCAACCGTGAGTCTCGCTCGTCAGACGTCTAGTGCTCAGCGCGCCTGTCTGGCGGACCCGGCGGCGGCTCGGTGACCTCTGGTGACCTCGAGTGACCTCAGGGGACGGCTGGGGGGCCGAGGTGCGGCCGGGCTCGGTCGCGCGGCGCCCGCAGTCAGCTGGCGCGACCTGTCGGCCTGAGACCGCCTCATCGGCCAGAACCACCGGCCCGGCGATCACACGGCCTCGGCGGTTCGGCTGCATCGGCTCCACTCATCTCGGCGTCAGCTGGTGGTCGGACGGCTTCGGACAACCCCTGTGCGACGGCCTGCATGTGGCGCCACCAGGGGGTGTGAGAAGGACGCTGGTGACGCGTTGTAGATGGCGCTGGCTGCGTTGGAGCGCTCAGAGAGGTAGTGGCCCTGACACCTGGCCACGCGGCCTTCTCGTGTGTGACGGTGAAAGGAGCGGACGTGAAGTGTCAGTGCGTCGTGGCCAGTTCGGCGTGCGAAGACAGAGGAGGTTCGCGTAGCTCGGAGTCGCGTGTCGAGATCGGGTAGAGCAGGAGAGGAGTACCGTCGGAAAGAGTGAGCGTCCGGCTGCCAGCCGCCGCGGAGCCGTGCCGTGAGGCGGTGTCATGACTCAGGAATCTGTCTATATCAGGGCGCGCCGCCGGGCCGCCGGGCCGGCCAGCTGACCGGCGAGCGCCGCGCCCGGCCACGTCTCGTAGCCTACAGCAGTGCACAAACACTCCCACCACTTCTATATTCCTCTTCTTGTCACTCTTACCTTCTATAATATCGCGGCTTAGAGGGCGATGCGTCGTATCGAGTGCACCCTCGACCGACAGCCGTCAAAAGCTGTAGAAACGCTTACTTACTCGTTCACTACGTCCTCGGGACGGGTCGGGACCGCGCCGCCAGTCTCCCTCTATTTCTCGGCGCGGCAGGCCCGGTCGAGATGGCTTGGTGAACACCGTCCGTATTCAATATTCATGCGATCACCCATCATCGGTCCGAGTAGCGAACCGTTCGCCGATTCCACGATTGTCACGGTTGCTAGTGGGTTGTATTTCGCCGGCTTCCGTGCAGGTGCTTGGTCATCGTTGCCCATCTCAGTTGTCATATAGGTTTGTGTGTTATCCTTGAAGTGTTCCTTGTGCCTGTTGATTTGGTTGTTCTCCACCAATGGATGCGTGCCTGTTACTCCCAAGTTCTTCCAAATTCCTTCCTTTACCGCTCTGATCTAACCAACGCAAGGATTTATACCCTGTTGATTAGTCGTTACCCTTTTGAACCTCTCTCAAACCTTTCGTTATCATAGGCTTAAACCACGCTCTGCCCGCCACCATCCCTTTCCCCTGCCCGACTTTTCCCCTGGCGTTTTCTCTCTCTCCCTCTCAGCCTGTTGTCTGTCCGTCTGGCGGCTGGTGCTGCCCTGGTGGCGCTGTAGCCCCCACCCCTCCGCCCCAGCCCGTCCGGCGGGGTGTATGTGATATGGCGAGGTCCGTATTCTCATTCCAGGCGCGACGAGCCATCGCGCTCCGCGGCTCAGTAGTGTGCAACTATACACGATACGCAGGTTTATATTATACGCCAGCGGGCGCGGCGGCTAGTTAAGCGTAGCGCGCCGGGCTGGCCGCGAGGGATATCTGCCTTGCTCGGGCCCGCGGACTGGCGGCTGCCCGTCCGCTGCGCCGGATCGGCAGCACGCCGTAAGATCTGACTCGGGGTGTGCGGGCCGCCACCGCCGCTCGCGCGCCGTGCAGCCTCACCTCGAGAATGCCTGCCTTTAGCACGCAATCAAAATGCTACCGGCACCGTTCAGCGATCGACCCCATTTGGCCCCCGGACGCGCGCGCGAGCCGCTCTGTCCGGGCCCCGCCTGCAGATCACCCGCTCCGCTCGCTCCGTCTGTTTGAGTCTCCAGAGTCGCGCCCGAACCTCGGACAGGCCAGTCTCGGATGGGAAATCAAAACGGGAAACTGCCTTACGCCCATTTCGTGGCCGGGCATGCCCCGACCCTCCCGTTTGTTGCTGTTATGCGTTTCCCTGAATTTTACGTTTTGTTATGCTGTTGGTAGTTGTTTCGTGGCTTTCCTCTATGTGTCTGACCTGGCGCGCAGGAGGGAGGTATTTTATACAACCGACGCGTCGTTGCCAGCGCTGGCGGGCCGGTCACGGAACGTCCGGTCCGACATCGGACCTCGGGTGCCCACCTCAGCCGCCCCACCTGACCGGAGTTCCTGTCGCACGCGCCCGCCACTCACAGCCGGAGCGCCGGCGCGGCGTCCGTTTGGATAGGTTGCCCGTTTGGTTTGTGGTCGTTGCTCTCTGCCCCTCTCTGTCTCTGTCTCTCTCTTGGCGCGCGGGTGACTCTAGGGCGTCCCGTGGCCGCCGAGTGCGCCGCGGTGTGAGGTGGTGGCCACTGCAGAGAGCGAGCGAGCGAGCCAGCGAGCGCAAGAGAGCGAGAGAGCGAGCGTGTGTGCGCATTGTGCGGCGAGCGGCGCCGCCTCCGGCACCCGCCGGCACCCAGGGCCGATTGGCTCACACAATACGGCGCTATTTTAAGCGAGATTACTAAATGAGACATCACTGTAATAAACGTTCAAACTGCAATAAGGAATATCTGCGTTTGTGTGTGGAGCTGTGGGGATGCAGAGTCGAGCAACAGTGAACAGACGAACATGGCAGTAGCGATAACTGTCTGAAACGTCGCAGTGTAGGATAACTAGCGAGGTTAGAGAGGTCATTCGCATATTCTAGCTATCAATCTTTGAACACACAAGTACTTAATGCAATAATAACAAAATAAAAGGCTTCGTCCGGCCACCTAAACGTTTTATTCAATTGTTTAATTATTCGTAAGACTTCGGCGGCGCATTTGAATACGATGAATTATTTATGCGAATTCATACAACAACATCTGGAGCGGTTTAGAAGACGGCGACCCAACTGAAGCCCCTCTGATCCGGTTTCCGAGCCACTATAATATCAGCTAAACGGATTGGAAGGCAACTGAGCATGGAGCGACTGTCACTGATGCCCGTGCCACTGCAACCAGCTAAAACCAGAAAGAAGTTCTCGACGATGTCACTGAGGTCAAGGATGAACGGTTATATGCATTAAAAAAAAATGTTCAGTGCTGAGTTCTGAAGTCGAACTACGATCATAATAACATTAGTCAAAGGAAATAAGAAAATGTTCCGTGTATGTGATTTCATTTGTGCGCATTTTAATGCTTTCAGAAACCTGCAGTACAAAGATCCTTCAAATATGCATTCGGGTACCTAATCTCTAAAGCAAAGGCAATAAATATATACCATGCATTATGTCTACACAACACCCTAGTTATGCATAATCATGTCTTGTCTACAGGGTGTCTCATAAGTTCGTTCTCACATTATATTTGCATGTGAAACAGAGTACATTGCGTCTTGATATATTTGTGACCCCTCAATGTGCTCCCCATTTAATAGGCAAACACATGAACACATGCTGCGGCATGCCAACCGGCATGTTTGGCTGCATAGCAGGCTTAAAGTTAATCCAGACTGACTTGACATGCGTCGTGAGCTCCTCGAGGCTGGAACAGCGCTACGCTTCGACGAGCCTAATTTTCAGCATAACCATCAAATTTTTATGAAATTTTGATCCGTTGAGGTGCCTGGCATGTGGTCTTGCCACAAACGCCTGTCACAGTCTCCTTGCACCGCTTTTAAGCTTTGCTTGACCTGTGCACTGATGCACTGTCTTGCCTGAAGATGGGCCTACGACCTCTCGGATGCCATTTTCTCCTCTATAAATGTGTTCATACTCGCGGTTCGAGTTAAGCTTGAGGGTTGAAACTCCTCCTAGATGTTCTTGGAAAAGCATTATGCTTCCCAAAGCTGTTTCTGGGACACCATTCGCAACCTGGTCAGCGTCTGGACGCCTATAACCCCACAATACCGTGACCTTGGCCTTTCGCATAGGAACATAACGGGACGAAACGGAGGCCTCCTCCTTCGCCCTTATGGGGTTGTTTTCGGGTTTGGACGGGTGTTTCATCTCGAACGTGGACTAGTTAGTCCAGATGACCTGGTTGATGTCCTCAGCCCTTTAGTTTTTTAGCCTCAGGCATAACGAAACTCATGTTTGGCCATTTTAAGACGTTTTTGACTGTTTTGAGCCCTCCGGTAAGCAAAGCTTAAGTCACCTTGAGTTATGTACCCCGAAAGAACACTCTTAGACAGCTGGTAATCCATCCTGAAAAGTCTGTTTACCAACTTTCTAACCCTTTGACCTTTTTGATGGCCACTTTGGCGCCACACAGTTTTGGCCACATGGCTCACTCCTGAGAGCTGACAAAAAAGAGGATAAACTTGCAATGATTGACTCCCGACAAATCATCGGTGTCACTTGCTGACTATGCGTCCAGTTAGCGATGGAAATTGTCTACAGACTGGTAGGCCTCAATCACCCTCAATCGTCGCGAATGGTCACGTGCTGACTAAATACCGAGACGTACCCGTATTGGAGACCTCTATGTTGCGGCGTTAGCCGTCTGTGTAGGAAACGGGCTCTCTAGCAAAAACTATTTTGTCTACAGAAATTAGTTACTGTGGGGCATATTTCTACCAGCCATGGCAACCACGTAAGCCCAGTAACGAACCAATTTCAGCGTGCCTTTAAGCAAGAGAGCCTAAAAACGTAAAATTTAGGTGAGAACGAACTTATGGGACACCCTGTACATACATTCTTCAGATTCAACGACCAATTGTATGTCCGTTCTCATACAGTCATTGCGAATGTAAGCAAGCAATCAGCCAAAAAAGCGATTCAAGCCATACAGTGAGTTGGCAATGTGTCAAGGATCCTGTCGCGAGCATCACGTCCACATCAATTATTGAAGTACATGGCACACGTAGGCAGGCTTACGTATTTTCCGTAGCCCTCGACTTCACTGAATTAGGGCTCGGCTGGGGCCGCTTCTATACGCCCACGCTCCATAGCTCACTCTCCCTCCCCTTCCCTCCCCGACGCCCACATCCGACAGGGTCCGTCGTGTTGCCCTTCCCCTCGCCCCCCCCCCCCCTGAATCGACACCCGTCCGTCGGGGTGCGGCAGTAGCTGACCTTTCACGATCGGACCGACCACCGGCCGACGCCACAAATTCCATTCCGGCAGTACGAGCACCGGCCCGCCCTCCGTGCCCGTGTCGCTGTCCGGAATCCACGGCCGATTGAATGTGACGTAATGCGGCGCCGGCCGCCTGCGCTATATGCTGTGCCGCAGTGCAGGGATGCGCGGCGGCACAGTATCTCGGTGGCACCAGGCTTCAGTGGAGCCGGGCATGGTTCTTTGAAGACTGTAATGATACTAATTATTCATTTAGATAGCGATGGATGTTTTATGCTCAATTTTACATAGATATACTACTGCGAGTACTTTTTATTTTCATTCAATTCAAGCACAGTTGGTGCCTCAGTTATTAGGTATGTGCCTATCGCAACAAGTTCGGAGCCAAAGGACTTTGTAACATCGGTTACCGAACAGAGGCCGATTATACCGACAGAGCGGGACCGGTGTTTATGGGACGGATCACCACAAAATCATCTGACTGAGATGCAGGCCGGAATTTCCTCAGCCGTCGCTGAATGGTGCGTCTGTCTCAGACCACACTCAGTTTACAGTCGAAGGAGTAGCACTATTCAGAATTCACACCAACCGGCCCGAAGGAATGGCAACATCAATGCATACGATACTGGTCAACTGAAGGGTGCTTCTTCAGAGAGAGAGAGAAAAGAAAGAGAGTGAAAGAGAGAGGGAGGGAGGGAGGGAGAGAGAGGGAGAGAGAGAAAAAGAGAGAGAGATAAAGATACAGATACGTCGTCTTGTCCTCATTGTTACCGTTTGCATTGATAAATGTCCTATGTTTTACATGAGATAGTTTGCTGGGCGTGGTCCACGTCTTCCGACCCCGATGAACCATCTCAGTCGGGGAAGCCTGATGCAAGGTCGGCACTGGGTGCTCGCCAGGACTGACCTAGCCGCTTCACTCCGGGTCACACGGTCCCCGTCGCTGTGGAGCACCCAGTGGCGACGAATGGCTGAAACTGCGCATGGCGAGACGCAGGTGTTGTGCTTGGCCCGTGCGCCACTCGCGTGAGCCATGACACTCTGAGCTCAAGGACTAGGAGCTAATTGGATGCGACATATATCATCTCTGAGCTCTGAAGGGCTTCACTTGCCTCACTTTGTCATTAGATTCATTTATTTAAATATAAATGAATTTTTAATAGTACCTAAGCTATATTTAAAATAATATCTAAAAGTAAGCTCTTACCGGAACTGCTCAAATTTACATCGCACCTAGACAGTGCTACAAACATGTTCTCACAGCCGCTTCGCACTACTCATTAAATCGACCGCCGTTATGTTATATTGCACGACATCGACCCGCTAAAAATATGGGTGAGTAATTCTCCTGGGCAAGCGTCACGCAGCACCACAATGCCCCCAGCGACTCATTAACTATTAACTGACAGCCGGACCCGACTTGTTGCCGCGGGGATGCCCCCCCCCCCCCCTGTCCGTCCCACATCAGTCGCCGTCAGCGGCTGCGTCACTAACGTCATCTGTAGTGGCGCGCGGTGACGGCACAGTGGCCGCGGCGACAGCTGCCGCCTCCCCATTGTTCCCGCTCAACAGCTTGCGTCAATATTTGATAGCGTATATCGCGCTGACGGCGACCTCCGCAGCCAATAGAGCGTCGATGGTGTGCAGTGCACCGCGCCGCGCCAGTAGTGCACGGCCAACTGCGTATCTCATGCACTGATAATGCACTGGAGGCCACAAAACGCGCGTGCGGAGGCTGGTGGCTTTGGAACCGACCGTTCATTGGCGATTTGTTGCACATTTGTTCCTCTGGAACTGTCGATCGTCTGTTCGTCTGTCTGTCCGTTGGTGGCTTACATGTGATCTGGTTCCAAGTCACGGACCAGTGCCTGAAGGAGCAGAACCTAGATGAGGAATAAGGTGGTTCATAATGGTACTAAAAACGAATGAATGAATTCCACGGTGAGAATCCAAAATGAATTATTTTCGTTCCAATAGGAAAATTACCACTCAAATTAGGACAAAAATATTAGCAGTTAAGATAGATCGCACTGCCTACTTTTAGATTGTGTTGGTGCTGGTGGATATGTCAGCGCATCCTTTCCTTGAAACTGCTGCAAACATTAGCCGTAGCTTGGAAAAATAGCTGAACCATGTCCAATTTTCGAACATCATTTGTAACGGCTATCTGACTTGGGTGAAGTAAAATGTAGCCGAACGGGAAGAGAAGAAGAAATTGTTAAAAGCGAATGTGATTAAATTTGCAAGGCAATTGCACGTTCTACAAAAACCAACATTTTCAAATGTACCTAACTCCATTGGTGTGATGGCAGGGGCGTAACATTGCAGCCAGGGCCCAATCTTATCTTATCTGGAGCGCTCTGAATATTTATGTCTGAAAAATGTAACATCTCTGATGGTATTTCCGATGCATTTCACCTGACTATTTCCGCCGGCACTTCAAGAGGTCCTACAAGCCTTCAGGCTGGCCAAACTAATTCCGACCTTGACCGCTGGCCATT